ATTATAAGAGAATCTCCTCAGTGGTGATACTGATTACTGATTTGATGTTTCGAATAGTGTCTGACAATGTCTGAATTGGTAAACTTATCAGCGTCTACCGTGCTCTGTTAAATCTTTGCTTTTTCCTACTTTAGATGTCGCCTCCGTTCAGTATTCCCAGTGTAACTTTATGCGCGGCAGCTGTTACGAAATCTGTGAGGCCAGCCGGCTAGCCCTTGATTCCCGTTTCTCATATATTGTCCAGTTCGTAGCTGCATACTCACCAAATTATTTCTATACAGTAATAATAAGCCAAGAAAAATAAGGAATGGGATTCGGTCAATCTATCATCGCAACACTAATTTAAATAATATTCAACTTTCTACATGATGAAAATTAGCAGTTTTATAAAGGAAGTTTGAGGGAATACAATAATATCTTTTCGTATTTTTTAAAGCATAAGCCTGCACCGGAAAACGCGAGAGGAAAATTAAATTGGCAATTTTCACTAGTATCGGCGTTAAGTTTGTATGTATACATATACGTACAGAGAGAATATTATGGACTCTTGCATGGATATGGAAGCCTGATAGTGAATCCGCGGCTCGCGGAGTCCTCGCGGCGACATTACCCGTCGTGCGTCGTCGAAGGCGCGCGTGGCATCAGAAAAGGCAAAGGGCTGGTCTTCGGCCGCAATTACGTTCGATACACGCGTGGTACGTATCGTTGACACTCGCCAAGACTCCTCACCTGCCCATCAAAAGACGTAAAGTCATCCACATTGGCCAACCAGGGAACCGGCTCGTATGCGAGAGAGTAGGTCGTCTCATCGCGCTCGATCGCGCGGGAACAGCTGTAGTCGAAGACCTCCTGCTACTTCATGCGCTCCTAGTGGTTACTTGGCGAAATGTGGACGCCTTTCGGGAACTGTTTTTCTTGGCACCCTGAAGTGTACCCCGGGTGCGTCCAATTACCTGTAAGGGCATATTGGGTAACGGAGGAGACCGCAGCCGCGCGTAGCTCGTCGCCGGCGCGTTCTTCGAAATACGAGGCGAACACTGTTTTATCCACGCAACAGAAATCGTTAAATCGATTCTCCAGGTGCTGTTCTTTTACTATTACACCTTCAACGTCAGATGACCTAACTACTTTTAATTATGTTCGATACTTCTTCAACAAAAAACAACATTGAGAGTCGAAAAACTGTCAGAAACATTAATTTTAATCTGGTTTAAAGTAACATACACATTGCTTCGAAATAAAATGGTTTTATTTGTTAATATTGATGCAAAAGTATATCAAGTAATATGTGAAATAGGAACGAAGA